CTCAAGATATTTTGATATATTGTGAATTCAAGTTTCCTTGTGATTCAAGGTGAATGCATGTTTAACTGTACATAGAAAATACTGAATTATCAGTATTCATCTTTGGTTTTAAGCAACTGGAAATCTGCTGATCTACAGTTTGGAGAATGTTGTATTGAATGAGGATGCTAGAACTCTTGACTGAAGAAATGTGTCTTGGGGATTTGTTTTAGATCTCAAGTTCCCTAACTTCTTTTGCTCCTAATCATTAGAATTGCTAAGAGATGGTTACACATACTCCTTGACGAGGAATAAAGTTTTCATTGTTGCTATTACTTTTTTCTTAAGGACAAAGGAAACTTGGAATAAAACACAAACAAACAAACAAACAAACAAAACCCAAACAAAATAAACTCTTAGCACATTCAAACCAGCTGAACATCACTAAGCCTTCCTTCCTTCCTTTTTTCCTACCTTCCCCATCCTTTTTTTCCCAAATATCCTGAATAAAAGAACTTTTCTCAAAGTTTGATAAGGAATATATGTTTGGACTTGTGAAACTTCAAAGAGCTTGTTAAGAAATGGCTTTCACATGGATAGCACCCAATTGTCTTTGTGATCCAGCCTTGAACTTTTTTTCTCTCTGGCCTTAACCTCTAAAATGGTCAGAATTTCTCTATATACTCATTTATTCTTATTCTAGAAAATCCCCCAAACAAAGCTCCTGGAAGGATAAACTAAACTCCACAGTCTACCACTATTAATATTTGATGTGTGTGCTCTAGTCATTTTAAATTAAATTAAAACCCAGGCCTCATGCATGCTAATAGGTGCTCTAGCATCTAACTTACCACCAGACATACTGAATTTTCAGTGGGGGAAAAACCTTAAACACCATTTTATGACAACTCCTCTCAGTTTTCAATAAACATTGAACTGAAGGTTTTCTTTAGCCACTGCTCAGTTCATAGTAGTCTCCAGCTGGTTTGATTTATGTCTAGCCCACTTTACTTTCACTGTTTCACAAGTGCCAAGGCCCCCAGTTAATTAGTTTCACTGGCATCCTGGGGCATTTGGCGGGTTGGGTATCTTGCCATGGTAAATTCAGTCGCAATGAATGAGAATTTACACAGACACACAAACTTCACTAGAGATAGGCAGCCCCACAGAAAGGTGAAAATTTACCTGTTGTTTCTCTAAACAGTCATTACTTTCATCTCTACCTCAGATGTACCATGGGTGGTAGGTATCGAGGGAGGTGTATAAGCAGCTATGGCTTCTCCAGGGACCTTCTCCTTTTCAGTGCTATGCTTTCATTAGCTCTGCTCATTATCCTTATACAGCTCACTCTTGCTCCTCCTTGCAGTTGCTGGAAAACAGATCTTACATTTTGAAGACTATGAAATGCTACACTGAGGCTGTATACAATCAAGGAATCATTGTGGGTTTGAGGAGGGCCTTATGTTCTCAGAGCTTACTGTTGGAGCGTGAGAGGAAGACTAGAGTTAGAGAGAATGCTCTAGAGGAAAGAGTGAGAACTACTAAAGCCAGGACAAGGAAAGAGCAATGATAGATTTCTGGGCAAAGCCCAAAGGACTCCCATCACTGCCTCCTGCTTTCTGTGAAAGACATGAGGCTCCCACCCACCAACTGCCATGGGTAGCAGTTTCTTTGCCTACTTCCACACTGGGAATAACATCTGAGACTAGTCAATGTCTCACTCCAGCCTTCAGTCAATATGAAATATGTTTTCAGAAAACAGAAAATACTACTCTTGCTGGAGACCTTGTGAGGTCATTTGACAGTGATGCTGTTAACACTCAGGATATTGTATGCATAGTTACAATAAAAAAACACATATCCATTATTAAACTCTACTCAAGATCATACTTAAAATAGAAACAGAGAATTAAGCATTGTCCATATTCTCCTTAAGGTATTGTGATATATTTGAACAACTAAAATATTCTCTATCATGACAGTGTAGATCAAAGTGAACAAGACCACTCATGACTCAACAGACCTTATTTCATACCTGTGTTGATTAAATGATTAAACTATGGCCACATGCTTAGTATTTTATCCTTAGTTTTTGCTTTTGCCAAATATTATCTTCTGGAGTATGTCACCTGGATGGGACAAAATGTTTGACCTATTAAACTTCAAGAGAGGAAAAATTTATTTTAGCTCACAGTTTAGAGATTGCTGACTATCTAGCTTCTGGGCTTGTAGAGTGAAGCATTATGATGGATAGAGTATGTGAGACAGACTAGTCATCTCATGTGGACCAGAAGCAAAGAGACTATGTATAACCTTCAAGGACCACCCCCAGTGACCCACTTCCTTTAACTACATCCACCTCCTAAAGTTTCCAGAACCTCACAAAATAACACCACTATCAAGGGACCAAATATTAAACACAAGAGCTTCTGATATACATTCCATATTTAAACTATGATGGAGTATACAAAAGCACACGAGTTCTCTTATAATACTCTTGTTTTCCAAGATAACTATTTATTCAATTCCAAGCTATATTTTCCATAGAAGGTATAAACTCTACTTTTCTCCATCAATTGTATTTATCCTTGGAAATAAAAGGTGTTATTAACTGAAATCCTGGCAGAGCCTTGTTTATTTTGGCACTTCTGACCTACATGATAATTACTGTTGCTATATACAGCCAGAGTTAAAATTGACACAAGATTTCTGCTCTCTAACTGTATTCTTAAGAATCACTTGCATCTCTAAACTCAAGGCTGAGTGACTTAGTAACTCCTAGCATTGACCTATGAGAGATTTATGCATCTGGGCCTGGGTTACTCTTGCTGGAAAGAAGTTGCCCATGTCTATTTTGTCTGTGAGTGAAGGAGGAAAGTCTACACTGTGGAATAGACTTGGGTTACTAGAGCTAGAGGAGATGGAATACACTGTCACAGAGCTATTGCAGAGCATGTGCAGAGCTGTCTTAACTGCCCAGTCATCTTTCTAGCCCCAGACACTTACTTTCTCTAGGATCTGACGCTATGATCTGATGGTTTTTGTGTTTCTACTGTAGTTAGAGGATTGACAAGAAAGACTCCCAACTTGAAACAGTGATATTCTAGTTTGCTTAGTAGAAAAAGCAGTATAGGAAAAAATTAAATACCTATGTGAAATATCAATAAAACATTAAAGAATATAAGCATTATGCAAAGCCCATTGAGTACAATGGCCTTTAATGAGAGTCTTTATGATAGGTTTCTTCTACTCCCAAAGTGGAATTGAATTTGATTATTGTCTGTATTATTCACTTTTCTGTTTCTGTGGTAGAATAGCCTGGAAAAAGGAACTTTGGGAAGCAACTTTGGCTTACAAGAATGTGGGGCTTGCCTGGCAGCCAGGAAGCAAAGAGATCGCATTTCATCTGCACACTGATAGTACAGGGAGAAGGGAGAGGGAGTAAGGGAGGGGGCAGGGAGGAAGGAAGGAGACAAAATGGAGTCAAAACTCCAGCATCATCCTGGGGGTTTCTTCTTCCTGCAAGGTTCTACCCACCACTGGTTCAGAACCTTCCCAAAAGGCACCACAAGTTGGATACCAAGTTTTCTGATATATGATCCTGTGGGGACAGTCACATAAAACCATAGCATTGCTTGTTAAGATGTATTATTAGATACAGCACATGTGGAAAATAAACAGTATAAAGATTGTGAAATAAAACTTAATCAGCACTGAGCAGTGGTGGCATACACCTTTAATTCCAGCACTCGGGAGGTAGAGCCACGTGGATCTCTGTGAGTTCAAGGCCAGCCTGCTCTACAGCTCGAGATCCAAGACAAGCACCAAAACTATACAGAGAAACCCTGTCTCAAAAAATCAAAAATAAACAAACAAATAAATAAATAAATAAATCTTAATCAGCATGTGAGAGCCCCCTGCGCTGTATACTTTTTAGTCACTTCTTAAGGAAGTGACTTATTTAAACTTTAACCCATTGTCTTAGTCACTGTTCTACTGCTATGAAGAGACACCATGACCAAGGCAATTATTATAAGAGAAAGCCTTTGACCAGGGCCTTGATTACAGTTTCAGAAATTATCCATTATCGGCATGGAGGGGATCATGGCAGCTGGCAGGCAGGTACTGGAGCAGTAGCTGAGAGCTACACCCCGATCTGCAGGCAGAGAGCGCAACACTGGGCCTAGTGTGGGTTTTTGAAACCTCAGAGGCCACCCAGGGATGACACACTTCTCTATCAAAGCCACAGATTAATTTTTCTCTCAAACAGTGCCACTCTCCGATGATTAAGCATTCAAATATGAGCATTCAAGTATGGACCTATAGGAGCCATTCTTATACAAACCGCCATGCCCATCAATTGGTTTTGCTATTTTTTTTACTTATTATAAGTGAATATATATTCACTCTACTTGCTTGTACCTGGCTACTTTGACTCAGCATCATTTCAGAAAAATTCACATATTATAAATAAGCCGCTCATGGTGATGTATAATGCTGTATTGTGTATAATATAAATATTCCTGAAGCGTTATTAAAGTAGCAGGATTGGTATCATTAATATAAAATCACCCAGGCGTGGATGAGAGTGCAAGTGGCCTGGTGTCATCCCTCAAAGTTGGTGTTTTCCATCTTTTTTTTTTTTAATGTTAACCATCCTAGTGAACAATCATTGGTTTTAAATTGATCAAGCTTCTAAAAAACTCACACCAAGCAAAAGTCTTTATTCAAGAGACTCCATGCACTAGGGAACAGCAGGCCAGCCTCTCACCAAGAAGGACTCTTTGACATCAAGCTCAATGAAGAAGTGTGGTTTGAGTGAACAAGCAGATGTGTATTAGCACAGACAAATGTGTCTATTCTAAATCCTGCCTTATCTTCAAAAAAGCATTTAATTTGGGAGCCAAGAGCTATGAGCATAGCTTGATGTTCATGATGTGAGAGCTGCCATTCTGATGATGAGAGATTGTAGGATAGAGGAAAACAGGAAAGGCTGACTTGTACCTTCTTCACCTTTGCAGGGTCTCCGTTTTGGTGCCTATTGGATATTGTTCCTATAAAGAATGAAAAAGGAGATGTGGTCCTTTTTCTGGCCTCATTCAAAGATATAACAGACACTAAAGTGAAGATTACTTCAGAAGACAAAAAAGAAGGTACGTTTGACTTTCATAAAACAGACATCTGGCAAAGCATTTTGAAATTGTTCACTCAAATATTTGAAAAAGAAAAAAAATGCCATTTTTGATAGCAGCAACTGATAACTATTGATAGCTCTTAGTCAATATTTGGTGTATATTCAAAAACCATGGATGTGCATTTACATTCTCATTTTTGTAGTGACCACTCACTTGACAGGAACGAGAAGTTCACATATCTCTGTGACTCACATGAGGACCAGATAACAACATAATAATGCTTCCCACCTCTTCTTTTCATCAGGAAGTAAAGATGCATTGACTAGATGAGTGACATTAAAGTGATGTGTGATGGGTAGAAGTGCAGTGTGATGGTTGTTTGATGAGATATTACTGACCGCCATGTTCCCTGTACCATATGTGTGTGTGTGTGTGTGTGTGTGTGTGTGTGTGTGTGTGTGTGTGTATAAAACACCTTCTGTCCTTTAGTTCCTTTAGTTGCTTGTTAAAAAATTGCTTGTGTTTCAAGTTGTGTAACAAAAGTCAACAATGGGAAAAATGCTAATAATGTTATAAACAGAAATGAGGTCTAGTAATCAGAGGAAAAGAGACTGTTCTGTGTGGGTTTCTGTGTAGTAAGTTGTTTATCAGAACCACTGGCTTGATATTTCAATCCTTTCAGGAGTAGACTCCACTTTAAAAAATGTGTATGAGTGTTTCCTATATAGTGTCTCGTGGAATGACAATCCAAGGGAAGAGATACTGAGTTTGGTTTTGGACTTCTGCCTTTTGAATCTTTGCAAATGACAGCTCTCCTGTGTATTGAAAGATAGAGATAGTGGAGAAAACAAAAAACTCTCAATGAGGTGTGGCCCCACTCAAGCTTATACAAACACTGCAGTCCATCTAAGTGATATAAATTAAGTATGTATTAATTATTTAATTCCTTACAGAAGTTAATTTGATGGACTTCATTTTAAAAACTGAAAAGTGTGTGACTTCTGTTTAAACAAGTACTTGAATCATTAATTGCTACATTGCTGGGGTTTTATTTGGAATGAAGGAAATCATGCTGTTTAGAAAGGACTACTGGCTGTGGAATGTGGTAAAGACTCAAAGTCAATTACAGCACTGTGGATTGTTTGTACCTGTGAGTTTTCAACTAGTGGTCCAGTGTGAGCTTACATTTCATTGTGTGTATGTGTTGTGGGGAGAGGTGGGGTGGTCTCAGCAAAAAGCTTCCATTCAAAAACAAAGTGGAAACTCTAATGTCTTTGTCCATGTCTACAACTGTGTCTCATTTAGCAGGAAATGCTGTTAGTCTTTTCCCTATCTATAAAGTGTATTAAATATAAAATTTCAGTCTGTATATTAATGAATTTGAAAACCTAAATTCTTGGTGATCTGAAGTCATTCCTCCCAGTTAAATGTCCTGAAAAGAAAATAAAAACATTATTCTGTAAGTAAGTAAGTAATTATTGTAAGTTAGTAAGTGTTGACAAAGGCTTTCTGATCACAGAATTCTCAAAGGGTTGGAACAGGATGAACAAAATCTGTTTTGGTTGAAAAACAAGCACTTCTGAATTTAGCAACTGCTGAAACTTTAGTTTTTAAGATTTATTTGGATATAATATTAAATAAATGTAATAAAATAGATTTAATTTTAAAAGTCATATTTAACATTTAACATAATTGTGGAAAATTAATAGTGAATTGAATAATTCCACAAATGCCAACTAAGCAGCACCCATCCACAGCAGAGCTAGCATTTGGAATGTCATCATCCATATCTCAGCTCAAATCCTGCAACTTCCTGCTGGTGACAAGAGGCATGAAGAGAGAAGCAAGCCTTTGAAACTGTGTGGATCCACGAGGAGGGACCTGTGAAGGGGACAGAGACCATGCACAGAAGAGATGTTGGGAAGTTAAGAAAGACGAAGACAAAGATGTGCACATGGGAGAGTGTCATGGAAAGATGCTGCTCTACTTCTGTAAAGCAGCCTCCAGAGAGTGATAGAGGGAACGCTAGACACTTCTTACATGTGTTTTTACTAACTTTACTAACTCCCTGATGCAAAGCTATTGCATTAAACCAAGGAGACACAGCCATGGTGCTTCATCACATGTTGTTAGCCCATGTGAAGCAGGTTTTAAGTTCAATTATTTAAGCATTAGCTAATAAAGCCTCCCTCCAGTCTCTGCCAGCCCAACTACTTACTTGTTGCCATGCCCCTTTAACAGTCTTGAGGCCTCTGGTTAAGCTGCACTTGCCTGAATACTCTCAAGTAAAGTTTACTCCTTTTTGTCTGCTTACTCTGGTCCTCAAATTTCCCACTTGTGTAACTCTGCCATCACTATTCCCCATAGAAATCCTAGCTCTTTAGTTTGGTTTGAACTTAGCATGCAGTGAGCAACCTTCCATGGACTACCTGTGCTGTGTTGCTCTCTTCTCCCTTTTTCTATTGATGTACACATCCTGGTTATCTCTGTTTACCTCTCTAAGAGAGGTGGGACCTGAGAGAAAGGAGCCCATAAATTAGGTGGATTAAAGTCTATGCAATAGCCAACTTTATTCAAAGCATCAGATAATTTATACTCTGAGGGTTAAGAGGAGTCACATGAGTAAAGTATCCAATCACAAGGGCAAGCTACACATGGTGGACAAGCTGCAGGTGGCAAAAACATGTTTTTCCATAGAGGCATATAAACAAATAACAGTAGCCAGTTGTAATGAATCATCTGAAGTGAACTCACTCCTATCTGCTACACCTGGAGGAGGCACAAAAGTATAGTCCTAGAACAATTTCTTGTCTCTTTAGAAACTGAGGTCATAAGACTCTTGTCTTGGTTTCTTGGATTTTTCTCGAAAGCATGCAGAAATCTCTCATGACTCCATTCTTGGACCACATTCCTGCCAATCGCATTTTTGCCAAGTCACTGAAGGCTGACACTGCTTCATATGTCTCAGAATGTCCCATAGTGCCTGGAACACTACAGACACTGAATCAGTTGCTGATTGGCTGGTTTTCCTGGAGGATGTTTGCTTATATATCAGTGTTTTCTAAAATTCCTTTCCTCCCAGCTCATTTATATGTGTTTGGACTTTACAAAATTCTTTTCACAGCAGTTCACTTGACACTAATTCAGTTTTTCATTCAAACCAATTGAGCTTAATAACATATGCTGTGTTTTTTCCAGGCACAAAACCCAGTGCCATTATTTTCACTTATTTCTTTTGGTGTGCCCCAGACTTGCTGTGCTATGGTGTTATGTGACCACAGCATCATCAGTTATCACCAAGTCAGGGAAACCAAATTACAGTTCCTAAAATGGGAGTGGAGGGGGCTTCAAATTTATTTTGAGAATCTTGGGGGGGGAGGGGGAGGGATGGACGAAGCTTTTAAATTTTTTTCCCATGGTGATACTAACTGGGATTCAGATGCAGTGTCATTCATAGTCCAACTTTGCCAAGCCCTTGTAATAAGTTGCCATGGGCAAGTGCAGTAACTAAAGTCTGATATTGCAACTATACCTGAAGAAATTACTAAGTGGCTTTGGAAGGAAGATATAATGATGATCATCTTGCTGAATGTTAGCTGTGCATTACATGCAGGTACGAGGTCCTGAAAACCCCAAGACTACAAGGTTAAGCAGTAAGGGCTTACTCTTGTTTACAAATGTTGGTGCTGAATAGCTAAAACAGTGGTTCTGAAGAACTTGCAGTGTTCTCTTCCTCTATGCTCTGCATACTGGTTCAGTCTTATTTGTGAGCTCATTCTTTAAAGATGCTGCTGCACCCGTGGAAAGCATGGAGGATGAGGGACAAGGCATTCCTCCCATGAGGCATTGTCTTTCTTGGTGGGAACGAATGCTCTTATCTTACCTTCTCCTCCAAGCATTTTATCACCATACCATTGACCACACTCTGTCTCATGGTCAGGGTCATTTCTAGCTGCAAAAGATGCTAGGAAATCAAACTTCTTTGATTTCTGGTTTAACCTTTAGTAAATACTTTAATAAATAAGTATAAGAAAAATAATCTAGAAATGAGCTTGAGTCAACCAATCAGAACATTTACGAAACTATTCTGTGCTTATGATTTTGTGTCTAGCAGTCTGAGTAAGCATCCTGCAGTGTGGAAAGGCAAGAGTCAGAGAGAGCATGTGCACTGCCCATGGCCCCAGTGTGTGAAAGGCATAAAAAGCATAGATGCCCATGGCCATCAGATCTGACTTCATAACTTCCTACCAGGTCCTAAGGCTTCTTATGAAACCAAGCAGAGAAAACTGAAGCGAGTTCAACCAGAGGCTGGACTCCTCTGAGTTTCTTTCCCAAACCTTTGCCACCACAACAGATTATCAGCATAGCCGATATTCCCTGGGATCATTCTTTTCGTTGTTGTTGTTGTTGTTCTAACTCCAAATTTTCAGTTGAAGTCATTAATACTCAAATATGGTCCAGAGAACTGAATGACATATCAGCTTTTCTGGGTGCTGGTTAGAAATGTAGACTTTCAGGCTCCATATTAGAATTTGCACTTCAGTAAGATCCTAGGGAATCGGGTGCACACCAAGACTGAGAAGCCCTGCCTTCACATAAACCCAAGACAGACATCTGACCATCCAAACAGAAGTATCTGTGCTCTGCCTACTCCACTATAGCACCCCATTCTTTGCTCACCCAGCCTTTACACCTATCTGAAACAACTTACAAAAGTTATTTTCCATTGTTAATTACTTCCTCCATTAAAGCTTAAGCTCATCAGAATTCTTTCTCCATGTTTACAGAGTGAGTGTCTGGCATGTAGTAAATGCTCAATAAATGTTTGATAGATGTCTGAACGATCGATAAATATATAAATGTGTAAACAAAGTCCAATTTGAGAAACTGGAATCTTCAGTGCCATACAACAGTATAACATTCTTGCTGCTTTAGAATCCTTAGATCCTAATTTTGAAAGGTACATGTCTCAGGTGTTCAAGCCAATAACCACATGCTTACATTCAACTTGATTTGAC